AAGGTTAATTGCAAAAAGTCGCGGTATGCGCTAATGGTATTTGCAGTGTTGATGGATCCATCGTCACGATCCGAAGAAACTAATGGCGCCATCGCGGATCGGAGATCGATCAATCGGATTAGAGGATCGGCGAACGAAATGAGCGATCGGGCTTATTCGCGGAGAAATGAACGCTGAAGAAAAACCGGCAGTGATCGATGGTGCGATGAACTCGTGAAGCTCTTACCTTCTCGAGCTTCATTATTCACTCGGGCTCCGCGGGTTCTACTCCTAATTTTAAGTGACTTTGATTTAGCAATCGTGGACTTCGTAATTCCGACGTTCCGCCAATCTTCTAGTCCTCGTTCGAGAGTTTTAATATTTCGTGAATTATGATCCCGTGGTTTGTCTGTAATGAATAACTACGATAATTAGTACAAAGTTTATGTGCATTCGAGACGACATAATTAAATATTGTTTCTCGCTAATATGTGTGGAACATATAACATTTATATTATCTTGATATTACACTGAGGAGATCAATTTTAAAAAAGTGACAAAATTCTGTTCGAGTTGTACAATATTACTCGGGAATTCGTTATTGTGCAACAACTTATACTTTATTTATTGAATATATTGGCATTTATCCGAACGAGAATGGACTTCGGGAGATTCCAGGAACGCACTCGCGAGTTAAGGAGATAATCGGCGATATTTCGCAAGACGACACCATGCGCAAGTATGTGCGAGTCTATGCTTGGCATTTGGTGCATTTATCTACGCTACCAAGTGCGTCGATTTTCAAGGCAACTGGCTAGAAGGCTAGATAAAGTAATGGCCTAGCAATGATAAAACCCGGCCGAGTTCACATGTGGAATCCTATCTGATACGCGTCGATCATTATCTAACGCGCCACCGTATAATGCAATTATTTGCACCGGTCGTATAACCGGTCCGCAATCCGTATGCAGATAACTGGGCGACGTGACAGCGGCGTATCGAGACGCAAGGAAATGCATCCGTGTCTCTGCCTCTGTTTCTCTCTTTCCTTAGCCGGCGTGGCGTAACGAAACTCGTGTTGCTGGGGTAATTGTGTCGGTCGCAAGAATTGAACAGTAGATATACGGTATAGTTGTGGACGTAGGAGGAAATGTTTTCCAGGAAACTCACGAGACGTTATATTATGAAACTCCTTGGGTGTTGTAAAATCTAATGTTACAATTGACTCCTGACGTGTCTATCATTATATTTCATAGTGTACAAGTTAAACTAAAATATGTAAATTGTTAGTTCTCTGTACATTCAAAAATAATTATTTTTATTGATTTTAATATAAATATTTTCTTGTCAATTTTATTTTATTTTATTTTTTATAAGCTGCACGTATGCTTTTATGAAATTATAATTTTCAGCGCAAGTTTAAGACTTGTATACACTTGTGCAAATCTCTTATTTTAAAAAGTAAAATTCGTGATTGTATGAGAGACATAGGAAAATTATATCGATAAATCCTTTTGAAAAGATTTTTAAGATCTTTTTTAAAAGATAAATCTTTTTAAATCTTAGCTTGCTTGAGGAGCTTTATTTATATTATTGAAAATACGATTCAACCAATTACTTCGGGATGAACGATGATCGAGAAACTTGATACTTTCTCACTTTATTCCAGATTAAAGTGGATTTAAGATATTATATATGTTGCTTCGTTAGAACGGTTATTATCGTAGGTTTATATGAAAGTTTCAAGTTCAACCTTATTATCGTTGCACTTTGGCATACGCGGCCGTCTCATTTAACTCAAATGAGATCATCTAGTCATTAGTTTAATCTCGTAGTTGCGCGAGAAAGTCACTTATCTGGTTCTTGTGCGGAATATGCGGATATCTGATAATTTTGCATTTTACAACTTTCTACTGATTGTGACAAATGGCGATAATAAATCGTGATGACTGACGATAATGACTAGTAATGATACGATATCATCTGCATTTTAATGAACGTCATGCTATGCTAAATCTTTGTTAATGTGCTATTAGATATTCTTATCTAATTTGTAATCTACATATTTAAAGTTAATTGAATACTTTTTTATGAGTAATTTTCTTCAAACTGTCTAACATTGACTTGATATGTCTTAATGCATCATGCAATTAATAATTCTTAATTAATTAGCACTTTACAAGATTATTTATTTTCCGAGAAAGAAAACTGCTGACTCCGTATGTCGAAATTAAATTCTATTTTTCTTAAGCTTTGCTCGAAGCAGCAACTCAATTACTTTCAACTATTTCTCTTACTATAATTATCTTAAATTTATTTTCGTGTTTTAATTTGTTTGAATATTATCAGCATTCGATATTTCTCTTGTGCCGTTCCTGTCGTATTTTATTTTCATCTTGCTCCAAAGGGAGACCCTTTCTATGTTTACCAATAATGAATATTTCTCCCTTTCAAATTCTTGCCTCCGTGTCGCCAAGAAAATCATCGAAACCGCCCTTTGTGGCGCCTAGTCGTGGGTTTGTGCCTGCGGCGACATGCGTCCATCCGTCGGTTTGCCACTTGGTGCAATTATTACAGAGCTATTCTTTATTCTACCCTACCCTACCTGCTACCTGCCTGCCTATCCACTTTCCTACCTGCGCGTACGTACCGTACGCAGGACATGGTGTGCCTCCGAGCAGGTACAAACAAGCTAGAGCAGGTCACTTTCGCTGCTGCTGCCACTTACACACACTGCGTTCCAGTCGTCGCGCACGCGTGCTGTTCCATTCATAAACCTATAGAAACGTGCGGCGGCACCGGGGCGACACGTAGGTGTAAAGGATCGCCGGCGAGCGGTGAACGCGCAAACGACGCGAACGTTAGAGAGTGATCTCCGTTACTTGCTCTGTCTGTCTTTTCGGTTCATTAAATCTTCGTATTCAAGCGCGAAAGCGCTTTATTTTGATAGAATATCAATATTTTTAGTTATATGTAAATGAAATTTTTTTGTGTTATCACAGTTATATTTAATTAACAAATAATTATTTTCTCTGAATGACCGTACTAGATAGATCGCTAATAATTCAGAATCACGATCAATTGACGATCATCGTAAACGCCTCTGGTGAACTTTATTGGTACGTCGTCCTCGTGGAGTCCGCTCCGCGATGAAACGAACTGACAGCGATAGATCGATTGATCCGTAGATCAATAGCCGCGCTGCTTTGAAGCCGATGCGACGTCCATCAGCTGTGCTACGTGCAAACACGCGGCGGCGGACAATAAAACAGAAAAACCATAACTCCGATTATTTGCGCGTGCTGTTTTCCATCAACGTTGATCACAAAAGATGAAGATAAAACTTGTTTCATGATTCGAATTGTAATTTGATACAATTTTATTAATTTTTTTACAAAATAGTATCTTTTATAACTTTGAATGTATTCTAATCTATTCACATATTTAATAATGTACATATTCCTTTTTAGTTATATTTTAATATATTTTTTATTTTTTACTTTATTAGTATACAATCAGAATATAGTAGTTTTTGAAGATGTTGCGTATACAGTTCTTTGCATTGGCATGTAATTCCAGATAGCCATAAAGTTGTTTTATTGAATAATTATGTTAGAAGAGTTTAACGATAGTATATAGTTTATATGTGCCATAAAATTTTTTAGAATTTTGCGACGATTTACCATAGTATAAGTGTCTTTTGTTGATCACAATTGGTAAACTTTGTTGAAGTGGTGAACACTGTGAAAACAAGTTTTACTGGAATAGTTCGACGCTTTTTATTTGCATTGTTTGCAATACGTTCGCACTTTATTGCTTGATTTGTTGTTATTTAACTTTAAATTAACAAGTATTAAACGTAATGATAATTATTATTTAAAAGATTGTACAAATTTCGCGTTTATCAAAATTATTTTATTTTTAAATGTTATTATTAAAACTATTTAAAAAAATTGAGTTTTGGAATTGAGATAGAAAAAAGTTTATTTCTTTCATATATTTCTTTAAAAAATTTATCATCTGCTAATCATATCATTAGGCGCTACTATAATCATTCGCAGATTGATTGATTGGGAGATGATTGCAGAATCATGAAGAGCACAGTATGGTCGAAAACAGCGCGTGAGTAGCTCCGAGCTACGATAAACTCGATTTCCTCGGCTATTAGTGCTAATCGATTATAGCGTGACGGATCGAATGATTTAAATAAAGACCGGGTGCGTCACGGGCCTGGCCTGGCACACTCGATCGACCGCGCCCCGCAAAATGATGTCGTTGCATTCGTCCATTCTATTATCCGATCCGTTACGTTTTTCCTGGTGACATGATCAGTCGTACTAGATCCTTCGAACAAAATAACAAAGGTCGACATTTCCGCCTTAGCAAATCTCGCATCGATTCGACCATCTTTTCTCGTACTGTTGCCTTGCATTGCATCGAGTTGCGAATCCTAAAAATAATCGTATCTTTACTAAAATAAAATATATTATCTTTTATTATTAACATATTACTTTTTACAACTTATAGATCGTATACTATAGTAACAGTAAGAATAACAAATAAATTGCACATATTGCTGTGTACCTATTTATGCAAAATTTTATCTAGATTAAAATAGTTTCAACGTTTACTCGCTAATTTTAATAATTAATATCAGTAACAATATTATAAATTATTATAGGATGTAAATTTTTTATTACAAATAACGTCAATTATTCGACAACACAATTACTGGAACTTATATAAATAGAGCAGAGATTGCTGAGTCCGTCTATTCATTTGTTCTTGTGAAATATACATTCTTTGCTAGTGGTATCAAATACATACAATTGATATGTAGCGGCGTTTGCGAAATTTAACGCCGATATTTGGGACGAGAAATTTCTATTTTGGTATCGCGACTCTCGGTATAAATGTGTTGCTTTGAAAGCGACCGGAATGATTTCCGTGATGTTATTTACATTTAACGAGTCTTGTAAGCGTAAGGTCAATGTAAATAACAGTGTATTTGTATGTTACAGGTGACCGGAGCCGAATGAGCCAGTATTCATGCCAGTATGCCAATCGAATGCCGGTAGACGACTATAGTATCCGCCGTCACCGCTAGCCAATTAATAAGTTACTTAGTTAGAGCAATTATTAGTCAATAATATCATCGGTTAAGAAAAATTCGCGCCGGTTAATCGCGATTATATAGTGACTAGAAACGTGAACGCGTAAATCCGTATTTTTCCGCACGCCTGCGTAAGCAATAAAGGATCGTGTCTTGTTCGTTTATCGCACTTTTCTCAACGACAATAATTTACGCCATTCTCTCGTTCGCGTCGCCGAATTCGAGGGACGAATAAGAAAGGGGGCAAACCCGGTGAGAGCATAATTGTGGTGAAAAGTGATCGACTGTTTTCCCCGTGGCAATCGTGTGCGACGAAGAAGGACTGTCTGCGACACAGAGGTGGAAACGGACATCATCCCGGCGATCATCACGGTGGCTGGAAACGCTGACTTACATTGGGAACGCCAACCTGCAATCAAGGTTCATGGTTTTCATGGTGAGTCACAGCATCTATTTCTATCTTCCTCCTTAACGTTCTTTTTTCATTGCGATCTTTTCATCCATTTGCACCGTGCGGCATTCTCTCTCTCCGCCCGGGATTCTTTTCATTCCAAATACTGAATCGGAATCACTCCGGTCAATGCCACTTGGAGTCAATTGACCACGGCATTTCTCCCCTCACAATCAAGCTCCAACAATTTTGCAAACGAGCTACCGTAAATAACCTACCGCATTTTCCACCATTTAACTTATTACGTTTCCCGAATTTCAGCATTTCATACATTTTTTATTTGATATATAATATTCAATTTTTGGGCTAACAGCATTGATTTAAAATAAATTGAAAAATTGTCTATACTTTTTTCAAGTTAATTTTTTAATAATTTTTTACGCGGTATTAAATAATTTTATAGTTAAATTTAAAAGAAAACCAAATTCAACTTAAATTCCTGAAAAAAAAAAAATTCAACGAAAATGCGACGACTTTGATATATTTGTAAACAATACATTTGACGAATCCTTCACATGCGCGGTAGCGCGGTCGATCGTCGTATGACATTTACATGCAAATGGACTTGCCGATCAAGCGGAACGAATGCGAACTCATGAGACTACCGTGAATTCGTGCCTCGGGCCATCAGTCCATTCCTGCCTTCGTCGAGTGCCTCCTTTACGCATTCGAAATGTTTCGTTTTATATGAGCACCACCCAGGACTGATCGCGCGATTTCATGAGATGTCGACAAATGAGTGCGTATCCATGCGTGCATTTTAAGTCTCACCTTTATTGAGTATCGATGTTGTGCTGCAAACGGCAACATCTTGCATATAATTTGCATAATACTCGTGCCGGCTTGCTTTTGCGCCGTCTCGTTATCTTTACGCGCGCATCATACCGTGTCACATTCTCGCAACGCGACGAAACATCAGATATTAAAATCTCGAGAATATCATACAGTGAGCGGCGAGATCGGCCCGTAAATACAAACGTAACAGGACTACCGACGTGCACTCTTCGCGGGCCTTTCCGTTTCTCCTCCGGTTTTATTTCTGTCTGCTTTGGAGGCCTCATCATTTTAAGCGTTCGTGACGTTCATTGGGTCAGCGCGCCTCTACGACCGATTCCACACGTTTCTTCCCGCACTGTTCTTTCACCGTGAAACCATTTCGGTAATAAGCATCGTCGACGTAGCACGTGTCGCGCGCGATTTGCATAATTACTTGTCGACTTTTTCTTATGCCGTGCGCTAGCTTGTTATCTTTATACTTGTCATATCGCCGCATCGGCGAATCGTCGAGAATCGACGCGATTCAAACGCTTCAACGTTTCGAAACGATCTGTAAAGCGCATCGACGCAAACATCTTTGCCCCGAGAGAAACGTCAATATCGCAATTTTCTACCGCGCGCCTTCTTCTCGCGGCTCGTTTATTTTCGTCTTTATTAATTATCGAAGCGTTCGCGTTTCCCGAACCGTTCGAACGATTCACCTAATAAACGGAATTGATGCAATCTCCTCCCGATCGTGCGGTTTTATTGGCATACGCGCCAAGATTGTGAGATTTGTGGAATGTAACTCATGTCACGTGCGACACTGCGTTATCTTTATGTTGCGTTATCGTGTTTACATCGGGCTGGCGCAAAACGCGCACTTCCGCATTTGTCCCGTGGTATTTGGAAGGTTACATAAGAGATTTTTATCTAAGGATGTCA